GCAAGTGATATAGTAAAGGCATTGGTTTTGCCAGCAATACAAAATAGATTTTAGGGATAATCAAATGTGTGTGGGTTGGTGTTGTAGACTAGTTATTAACTCAGATGTTTTAGCTTGATCATGTTCTAAAATAATTAACATAATAATATAATAATAATGTTGTAATAATAATATGTTGTAAATAATGTTCAATTTTAATGATTTTTATTACTCTTAAATTAGTACTACAGAATTCAATATGCATATAAAGAAAAACCTAACTGATCATGTTGGAAATGGTGCATTAACCCTGTAATTCTAGTTCTTTTATTTTCAATATTAACAGAAATGGTGCATTAACCCTGTAATTCTAGTTCTTTTATTTTCAATTTATCATAGAAATGGTACATTAACCCTGTAATTCTAGTTCTTTTATTTTCAATTTAACATCTCATACCTCTCCAATATCAGTTTTAAAAAAATGTGTTATTATTTATTGTTTATTAACAAAAATCTTGTATGTATTGACATAGATTTCCTATTTGTATTGACCATTCTCCCTTGTTTTTATCATTTAGGATACTTAGGAAGAAAATTATGCCTTAATATAATTATATATATTATGTTTTTGTGCATTTTGCTTTCAGGTGAATGGACACAAAATTCAGTCAGTAACCCACAATGAAGCTGTCCAGATATTCATCACTGCTGGTGAGACAGTGCATTTGAAAGTTCAACATGGTGCTGAGGAATACATCTTGGTAAGTTCTTTGAAATCAATCATAGACTTTTAATGGACATCTACAACAAGTGGTTATGTCTCTAGTGTCTTTGGCAAGTAACTGAAATGTAATGGATACAAGTCTAAGTTTTGTTGAAATGGTGTCATAAAGAATAGACATCCCTTAGTGGTGTTTCATATTTTTTATGATTTGAGAAGGTTGTGAGGTATATCCTCTTCCTTATTAACAGATATCTTTAATAGAAAGAAAATATTTGGTTTTTATTTAATCTGTAGTAGACACAAGATTTATTTATCTGTAAAATCTCATAACCTTAACTCTTATGGTACGCCATATTGGATTTTCGATCACCCGTGGTTGACGCCTTAAAACGTCATTTAAATAAATAAATCTTGAAATTTTTGCGTTATTTTTTATTATTTTCACAAAAAAAATATTTTTTGTTTCGTAAAAATATTATTTTAAGTTAAACTTTTTAAAAAAAGTTATTTTTATTTGCGTCCGAAAGTTCACATTTTGAACAAGCCATTTTGTGATTCTCGTCGGCCATTTTACTACTTGCCTTCACCACTACTAGTGCGCTAGCATCACGTTTTTACCTAAGAAATGGCTCAAGACTTATCTTCTGATGAAGAAATAGAGTACATTTCAAGTAAAGATGAAGAATGGATTGAAGAAGATTTTCGTGATGATGAAAACATTCAGCCCAATTTCAATGAACAGAGGAACTACGGAAGGTAAATATTTTTCTTTCTTACGAAACATCCAGTTCTGGGTTGACTCGATAAGAGTCTAGAAACTTTAGATCTAGTCTACATGTAAATAACCTTAGAATTTATTTGTAAAATTTAGGGAAATAAAGAGCTTATAAGACTTTATACTAAAATCAAAGTATTTTCTAGATCTACAAGATCTAGAGCCAAACACTTTTCAGACCACATTGCTTTTGCTAGATCCATATTTCATTTGTTTACGTTGGTTACGCTTTGTTTATAATCTACATCTGTAAACATTTCAGTGCTGTATATGTATATTATTTATATTTGGATTCAAAGTGTGTAGTTATGATTAGCATGTCTTTATGTTTTAATTTTACTAAATCTAATTCTAATTTTTTAAATTTTATTTTGTTTTAGCTATGATGACCTGGACCAAATACCACATGCCATACCAGCATTCAGACCCGAAAGGCCTCCTGGAGCTCATTTCCCTGACAGTGTAACAAGGCAAAACAGGAGAAACTACCTTACTCCTCTTTCAATTTTTAAACTGTTCTTTACAGAAGCTTTAGTTGAAATGCTCTGTAAATTTACCAACGAAAATGCTGCTGCCTACAAAACCAAGTATGTACAAGAACTGGAAGGATATAGACGTTGAAGAGTTTTACGTATTCATGGGACTTCTGATGTACATGGGACTTGTTCAGGTTCCCAACTTTAAGCTCTATTGGAAGGGAAAGAGTTTGTTCAATGGTTTGTGGGCCAGAGCGTTTATGACTAGATTTCGTTTTCAACAAATTCTTTGCTTTTTGAAAGTAAGCAATAGAGATACTGAGGTGGCTACTGATAAACTTGCTAAGGTTAGATTTTTATTTGAATTTATTAGGAGAAAATGTATGAAATTATATCAGCCTAGTCAAAACATATCTATAGATGAAAGAATGGTTAGAAATAAGGGTAGGTATGCATTTAGACAATATATAAGGGATAAACCAACTAAATGGGGAATGAAATTGTGGGTTTTAGCAGACTCTCTTAGTGGGTACACTTATGACTTTGATGTATATTTAGGTAAGATAGAAGGGAATAGCTCTACTTTTGGATTAGCATATGATGTAGTAATGAAGTTAGTGTCCTCTCTAATAAATCAAGGCTATCATTTTTTTTTTTGATAATTTTTATACCAGTTTTGTACTTGTTATTGATCTTTTTCAAAAAGGTATTGTTGCTTGTGGAACAATCCTAAGCAATAGGAAAGGGTTTCCAACAGAACTTAAGAATGTGAAGCAGTGGGAAAAGGTTAGTAAGAGGGGGGATATGAGATGGGTTAGACAAGATCAGGTTTTAGCTATGCAGTGGAGGGATAACAAAACAGTTTCATTAGTTTCAACCATGCATTCGGCAAATGAGTTTAATTATGTTAATAGGAGAACAAAAAATAATGGTGTTTTTGAACAATTAAAAGTTAAACAGCCTCAACTAGTGGGGGATTATAATTCTTTTATGGGAGGGGTGGATAAAAGTGATCAACTACTAAATAAATATAACATGCTGCGCAAAACTAACAAATACTGGAAAACCTTATTTTTTCATTTCATTGATATTGCTAGAGTTCATAGTTCTATTTTAGTTCAAGACTGGAGAAAACAAAATCCAGATATTGAAGAATTAAATAGAAGCCCATTCTACAGTCAGATTTCACCATTGAACATTGATGATTATGACCCAGTTCCTACTGTATAACATATGAAACTCAAAACCTGCCACTCAATATTACCTGCAATGGTTGCTTCAAAAGATAGAAAAAATTGTAAACTTTGTTATAGTCATCACAAAATTGAAAGAAAGACTAGGTCCATGTGTAGTGCTTGTGGTACATTCTTGTGTTTCAGTCCAGAAAGAAATTGTCTTTTACTTTATCATAAATAACCTTTTTTTCACATTCAATGTACTTTTTTGTGTGAAATAAGACTACTTTAAAGTTCAAACTGTAATTACTTCATTTATTAATGTTTTAATTCTTTGTAATTAATAATCTATACATTTGGTTTATATGATTAGCTCTTTTATCAAGAGGATTTTGTTTTTGGCGTTTTTTTGTTGTTTTTATATAGTTTCATAAAAAATCACCTCAGTATCTCAGTATTCTATAGAATTGCCTAAAAATGATATATGACATGTAAAAATGGTTATCATTGATGAAAATAGTACTTTAATTCACATTGGCTTTTATAATCCTTTTTGTTTTTATTCATGCCTTTTGTCATAAATGTGTTTGTTTTTTTGCAAAAAAGAAAAAAAAATTGTCACAAGAATTGATTTCTTGAAAAAATGTTTTCACCTACCAAATTTTTTTATCATCTACTAGACAAAGGATGCAATTCTGAATAAAATGATAGATAACATACAAATATTTGTATTATTTTTATTTTAGAAAAATCATTTTTTATTAAGTACCTTAAAAAACAATTAAAAAAAGGGGGAAAACTCAAGAATCTTTAAGAGTTAAGCTCTTATTTAAACCCTAGCAAAGATGATTGTAAATTGAATAGATTTTCTATGCTGTTTTTACATGAGACTAAAACTGTTTTTGTCTGAATGTTTACAGAAACAACTAGAAGCAAGAAAAGGTGGAGGTGGTGGCCTTATCATTTTGGTTCTTCTTGGTTTGGCTGTTGCGGCAGGAGTTGGCTTCTTCATTCTCAATAAAAAATGAGCTTGGTATAACTTAAGCTGTGTAGAAATCAACAAAAACTTGAATGCATTCTATTTAGAAACTATTTTTTACTGCATATTTGATTTGAATTATAAGAAATATTTTGTAATTAGTAGACAATGTAAACAATTTGATCTAATTTCACTGATGAATTGGATGTGTTATAATAACCTATATGCAGTTCAACCCTAGCAGAACAAACTAAAAGAGGCTCATTCCACATAAAGAGAAAAAAAATGTCCAGCTTTGATATCTCTTGTAACATTATTGAATGAGAGAAAAAAAACATCTTAATATTAAATGATTACATTAAGAAATCATCTAAAAACAAAAAAAAAAATGTATATAGTTTTAGTGAATGAACAGTTTTTTTATTTTTTATTTGAGGAAAGTTATTCCTTGTAATGATTGAGAATATCATTAGGTTTGAACACAACTGTATGTCCCTCCAGTCCAAAGGTCTCAATTGTAAGTCCCTTCACCCCACACATTTTTTGCTTATCATTCAATTTAAAATGAAAAAAAAATTTGTTGCAGTCTTTCAGTGTGTATTTTAGCCATTTCTCCTAAATTGCAGACAATTTTAAGTACCGGTATTTTAAGTCATGTTTTAAGCAAGTTCTTTTAAACATAGATATTTTGTAGATGATTAATTTATTGTCACAAGAAATTTGTCTACCCATTAGTTACTCTATATTTTAAGGTAGTTCTAGGTAATCTACTGATCTTCTAGTAGTTTGTAATATACCTTTTTTTATTATTATTATTTATTTGAACAGATGTGCATAGACGTTTATAAATCTGTTACATTGAGCATAACTATTCAACCATTGATGAATGTTTTTTTTTTTTTTTTTTTACTGGCACTCATCTCCATTAACTTCTTTGTGTGATTGTGAGAACTATATCCTGTCCTATTGCCTGTTATTGTTAACCAGCCAGATCTTATATTGGTGATAAACCACCAACAATTTGTATATCTTAATTTGCTGCATTAGCAATACATAAGAAAAAAAACAAAACCCTAAGAAGGTATTACTAATGTATTTGTTCATGTTGTGAATGAAATATTGTGCCACTTGAAGTTTCCATCATAAAACAAAAGATACTGAGAAAACTAGACAAGGAATCATCAATAAAAAGCACACAATAATTAACTCTTGTAAATTGTTGCCTCATTATATGATTCTTATTTTTTTTCCTCTTAGGTTTACATTACTACAATTCAGCTTGTTTTCATTTTTTTTTTTCCTTTGAAAGTTTGAATTTAAAAAAAAAATTCTTTTAAAGGGTATTGAAATAATTGTTATCAAGTTGTCTTAGTCATAAGAATTTGTTGTTTTTTTTTTTTTTGGCTTAAAAGGTTTTTCTAGCAATAGCAAGCTAACCTAAATTTAAAATGGAGAAACAAATCAAGCTTTCAACTCTAGCTTACACACTTTGTGATTGCATTGCCGCTATTCAAATTTAATGTCACTAAAAGCTTTGAAGGTCTGAATAGCAGTGTTTTTGTGGCTCTGAGGCTGTTTGTTAATAAGGCAGCTGTCTCATTTATTTTCAAGATGCAGATGAGTGAAATTTTTTTAGTGAAAGCATCTATTTGATTTTCAAAACAGTAAAACATACTTATTTCCTCCTGCCTTTCTAGCTTAGTATCAAATAAAGATATGGATGAGTAAACGAAACTAAGAATACTACACAGCATCCCAGAAATAAAGACATTTCAATCTACCAGGAGACTGATACTTTTAAACTACTTATTAGCAAGTTAATTTGGCAGTGTGTTTAAACTAAGTCTTCTTAGATATACTGATTAGAAATATGGTAATATATTACATAAAGTAACTGCTTTGGTACTGTATTGCTTTAATTTAAATTGCATTTTTAACAATATAGAAATTGATGTCAAATGACAATTTTTTAAACTTGCTAACACTTTTGATTCAACACATAAATAACATGAAAGTAGCCCTTCTAGTTGACATTGTGATTCTTCGTTTCAAGTTTCATTTTTTTGTATTTTCATTTCATTAATTTTGTAATATAATTTTTACTTAAATTATTCATTATTAAACATGTTGGTATGAAAATTTCTTTTAAACCTTAGGCGTAGACCATGTATTTGAAGTTTATCACAGCAGTGGTGAGCTGATTTTATGGACTAAAGGCTTCTTCATTGATGTTCCTTGGGCTGTTGCTAGGCCATTGAAGATTTCAAAATCCTTCCCTGTGTACAGTATCATCAATTGCAAATAGTTGATGCTTACACTCATAACCTTTTGACACAGCTGCTATTCTTAAGTTTAATGAGTATGCAAGTCTACACTTTATTCTTGACATGAATTTGTAGTCTTTATACTAGGTAAACCCATGGAAACAACTTCCTCAGCAATCTTTTAGCTTAGCTATTTCATTCCAGTGAAGTTCTGGTGTCTTAAGTTCTATGTAACTTTCTAAATACTTACACAAAGCAATGTTTTTATAGTTCAATTATACTCATTTTGATAGTATTTTTTTTTTTTAACTGAATTTTAAGAGTTTACTTTTGTAAGTGATGTATTATGTACTTTTCACCTTGTATTCTAGGTTGTTCTATTTGCTTTGCATATTAGCCAACCAAGTTAAAACATTAATCTAATTAGTTTATTGGACTTTGTGGTGATTGTGCGAGTGCAACAAGTGATGGAAGGTGTTAAATGATTGACCTTTCAATTCTCAACACTAATAAAATATGCTTAATAATTGCATGGTTGTACCAATTTTTTTTTTTTTTAAATTTCTACCTATATTCGCACATAAGACCTGTCAGAAAGATTAATGAGGAATGCACTATTTCCCAGCTGTGAATTACATACTTTTGCCACATCCTGCAGCCAGGTACTGTTCAGATTTTCTTTTGGTCTCAGTATAGTGAAGACTAGCCATACAAAACACTAGCAGTTGCTTCAGTAGGTTTTGAATTGGTCTATGAAATTAAATATCAATATCCATGTAAATAATCAAGAAGTTCAGTAAAACAATATTGGTATTCCACAAACAAAATAAAAGATTTGTAGTTTCATAAAAATATAACTTAATACCACTCAATAAAATAAATTTATTCTAACATTATACCACATAATAAACATCTTGAAAATAAAAATTGTTCTAACATTTAGTCTCATGGTCCAATAGATACAAAGAAAAAAAAAGGGGGGTGATGAGTAGCAACATTTTCTTTATTTATGACATGTTTTAATAAGTTACCACACTTTTTAACAAGCTTATTTTATTTATCATTATCTCAAGATAAATGTTGCTAATGCTAAATTTTTATATTTGATACTGAAATTAAGTAATTAGAATGTTGCATAAATGAATAATGCAGGGCAGATTGCATTATTAAGGCTATTTAGTTGGCCATATTGGAGCATGTCAAATTTGGTAACTGCTTCCATAATCTATGACCAAAAATATTGAATTAGCTCAAATCAATCTGCACAAAGTATAGTGTGTGTGTTTTTTTTAAAAATAGATTTTAACAAAGTCCCATTCTGTTTATGTGTAAACTTTATCATCCCATTTAATTAGTGTACAGTTTAAACTACCATCCTGTGCATTTTGTCTTTTCATGAATTCATGTGAGTAGGCTACCAAAGTTTTTTGATATACTATGGTCAAATTGAAGCAATTAGTGGCTTAACATGGCCATATCTTGTCCTCAAAGTAAGATATTGTCTTTAGTTTTGCTAAGCAAAGTATAATCCAACACAACTGTTTGTGAATCATGTTTGTGACTTTTTACCAAGGCGACTGAAAACGCCACTTGACTTGACAGTTGAGACAGAAGTTGCTAGTGTTACTGCTTTGAGTTTCTTTACTTTAGTTGGGACATTCTGTGTGGACGAGACAACTGGAGAAGACTGCAGTTCTTCTCTTTTGACGCCTAACCGATCTTGGACAGTTACTAAATTGGATCAGATACAAAAAAAAAAGTTAATGAAAGTTTGCTTCTAACACTTAGTGAAACTTGAGACAGATTTATTACATCATATTAACTAGCTAGAAATTTCTAGTTTTATAGGTACTTACAAAAGTAAACATGTTAAATTCCAATTAATAGCAATTAATAGACTATTCTTATTACTGCACTGGCTTCTGTCATACAACTTTGTATTGATATTGCTGTGGGTGATAGTAGCTAACCAGTCAGTGAACTATAAACAACTTAAGGCTGAACTGTTAACTTATAACTTATTTAGATTAGATGCTCACATTTGTGTTTCTTGGCAGGGGATGCTAAACGTGAGCTGCTAGTCACTGTAGAGGAGTCAGCTTTGGATCCAAGTCTTTCCTTTAGGGATGGAGCTTCTTTTTTGGCAAAATCTGATAGCACTCCTTCTGTAGTTGTGGAAACCTCTGGTCTTTGAATATCTAAATTTTGTATTAAAAATAAAATTTTAGCATAGCAATGGATTAGCTAGGAATTTGTCATTATTTGGGGACCTGGGGGATCAACCTCTTTGGGGCCCCTGCATTTTGCGTAATATTTAATATTTAGTGTAAAAAAAAACTTCTCTGGGGGCCCCCCTAAGGTGGTGGCACAGTGTGGGATTTCCTAAGTGAACAATGTTGCTTGCTTCTGTGCAGCAATTTTGCCTCATAAATGATAAAAAGTATAACTTTACAAAAATAAATGTCCATGATCTCAGGCAATGGTAACCGTGTCATAATTAAAGTGCTCTTTTAGTAGAATTATAATGAGAGATAACTGTAAACAATTTCTTAGATATTGGCAAGGCTAGCTTTGCAAAAAAAACACCACCACCACCATAGCTATCACTTTACTTACAGGCAGTTTTTCTATCTTCTGTTGTCTTAATAGTTTTCTTAATTTTCAATGGTTCTCTAAGACTGGATCTGTTCAGAGAAACTTTAACATTGGGTTTCTTTACAGAAGATGCTCCAGGATTCTTCAACACTCCTGCATATGGCAAGCTCTCCTCACGGGCATCTGAAGGCTGAGCCAAGTCTTCCAAGGATGCAGCAGATGCTGTTCTCTTTAAGCCCGACTTTCCACCCAGACGACTAAATACTGATCCTGGCTAAAAAAAAAAGTTAGCATTTTCTTTATGGTATAAGCTGTATACATTGTAATATTAAATTATAAAAAGATCAGTGAATGAACTGTTTAATAGACATACTGATAGACTTTGTGTAGCAGCTAGTTTCTTTCCTGAAGTTATTGTCACTGTTTCATCATTGTTATCTGTCCCAAGTCTTTCAAAAACAGAAACTTTTCTTTTCGACTTTGAGGGTTCTAAGAAAAATAAGGACATATATATGTATATATTATATAAATATAATGCATGTAATATTTTTGCCACAAGCCAAACCAGATGATATGACTCATAATATACAGTTTTCAACTAAGTTTTAAAAAAAATTAATATTACATGAAAATTCACCATTCTACAAATACACTAAAATAGCTTAGGATTTTTTTTAGCATTGAAGTGGGGCAGCCGAGAATGTTCCTGATTAAAGAACAAGCAGGGATGGGTCACTGGATAAATTTAGTTTTATGAAAAGATTATTCTGTTATTTGAATATTTTACATTTTAATGTACTGAATTTTTTTTATTCAGAGAAGCTACTTTGTTTGATATCAACTGTGTTTCTAATTATTAAAAGTTTACTTTATCACCAATGAATTCTCATTATGAACCTCCATCCCAGTCAAGTGAGAATACATGTCACAAATATTGTGACTTAACCATACAGGGGACACATGTTTCTTAGCAATGCAATTATTACTTCTATTGATATATGTTGATTAATTACTTACATCCGACACCTATGGGTTAGCTAAAAAAATCAAATGTTTTTTTTTGTTTCTGGTTTATTATAAACACAAGGCTAAACGTCTGCACAAATAACACTATTACATTGTTATATTAATAATAAACTTCACTTTTGTTTATATTTTAGTTTTCATTACTACATATAATGCATCAAAGTACCTGGTGGTAGAGGCTTTGGTGACGGTGATTGGCTCATTGGTGCTGCTTCTGGATGTTTACTTGTAAAATGATTCACCATACGACTTGCAGCTATGTACAGAAGAAGTAACCAAGTTACATCGTACTTACTATCTTATGTATAATTTCAATATGCATAAAGTTTCAGTCAATGCCATCTTTAAAGTACAATAAAGTGTATTCATATTCATCTGTCTAAATACACATTCAA